ATCTGTTTTGCTGGTTGAAAACAGGCGGAAATCGTTTTTGAATATTTACACAAAGAGTGATTCAGATTGAGATTGGGCAAAGGTGACTCAAAATGACTAGTTTTTCCCCCTGAGAATTTTGTGGGCGGAGGACAAGGAGGGATGGGTGAGTCAGAAAGAAAAAAAAGAATAATGGATAGAAGATGGGAATTGAAAAAAAGATCCTGTGACAAGTGAAAGGGAAATTTGGATTGGCAATCATTAAACTTGGGTGGTAGGGAATGGTGGTAGAGTCTTTTGAATGCGCACCTCTTAGAAGCTAGTGCTTTGTTTGTTTGTTTTTATAGTTTATAGTTTGTTTTATAGTTTATAGTTTGTTTTATAGTTTATAGTTTACCAGCCGAGAAACCCGTCTAACAGTGAGTTTTTCTGGATGTTTCGGGGAATGGACGTCGCTGTGAAGCAGTGGATAGCGCGCTGGTCTATCGCCCATAAGGGTTCAACCTCCACGTGCGACTCGAATTGTGCTTTACAACGCTGCACAGCTACATTCCCTATTCAGCGGCGCAAAAATCATTGTAAACGGCTCTCTGGAGGCTGAGGAGTAGCGCACATAGACAGACAAACGGACAGACGGACACATGGACGGATAGACGGACAGATGGACGGACAGACGGACAGACAGACGGACACATGGACGGACAGATGGACGGACAGACGGACAGATGGACGGACAGATGGACAGATGGACGGACAGATGGACAGATGGATGGACAGACGGACAGATGGACGGACAGACGGACAGATGGACGGACAGACAGACGTCTTAGTCTCTTTTTATATAGTAGATGGTTTGTTTTATAGTTTATAGCTTGTTTTCTGGTTTCTTTTATAGTTTCTAGTTTGTTTTTATCTTTTACTGGTGTAAGTGTTTTTTCTTTTTAAATTATCAGTCCGAAGGTTCAGAAGACTAAAGAACAATGGTTTACCGAATTACCGAAAAAAGGCAAAAGCTGGGAAAAGATCCTTTTTATACTCTGAAGTTCTTGTTTGTTAAAATCATTCGGTCTATTTATTGAATATGTTTTGGTTTTTCAAGTCGGTATAATTTGGTCGGTCGTTTACCGTTCATTTTTTGTCATTTTCTCTCCAAAAATTCATTCTCATCAAGAGAAAAGCTGAATTTGTTGGATAAAGATAATAAACTGAATAAAGTTGTGTCCTCAAGGTGATAAAGCGCGATAAAGAGATTCTAGGGTCTAGATTTAAGATTGTGGCCTTATTTTTGATCAGTTTTGTTCAGTTTTGAGCAGTTTTGCTCACTTTTGTTCAGTTTTGAGCAGTTTCGAGCAGTTTTGAGCAGTTTTGATTGAGCAAGTTCAGATCATCAGATCAGTTTGATCTTGGCAGCGGATAAAGCTTGAGAAGAACGAAATCCCCACACAAAATACAAGTTTTTATTCAATACAAATGGTGCACCAATGAACAAGTTGCCTAAAATCACGCTTGAACAAGAAAAACGATGAACAAGTTGCTTAAAAATAGTACTAATCAAGTAAAATATGATAGATAAATCCAAAATTGAATTGTGCAAGCTTTAGGACTTGTAACCAGATCTTTATCTCATAGTTATCTCATATTTATCTCATTACATCTAGTTTTATTAGGCTGTCCAGAAAGTCTTTTCGTTCCTTTTCAACCTTTTGTCAAAAAAATAACAAATTCACCAATTAACCGATCACCAATTACGATTTCCTCTAAATAAAAAATGTTTATTCTTCAATTTCCCATCTTTTTAAGTCAATTTTTGTTCACTTTCAAGCAATTTCGTGAGCAAATTGGCTTTTCTAATGAAACAAATCGTCGTTCAATTGGTGCATTTGTTGATTTTAAAAGGAACTACGAAAAGGAACGAAAAGACTTTCTGAAAAGCCTAATGCCATAAACATTTCAGAATTGAGTGAATTTGCTGGAAAAGTGCCAGTTTTAACTGGAAAAGTGCAAGTTTGCTCTTGTTTGTTGGCTTGAAAAGCAAAAAGCTAGCTAGATATCATGTTTACTTTTGCAAACTCTACGAAAAATATGCATACTAGAAAGTGAAATGCTTTTGGAGAAAAGGACCAACCCTTGTATCCGAATCTTTTTGATTAAAGCCACTCTTTTTCCCTTATCATCCCTACCATTAACATACCGTATTTATTCTAATAAACGCCGCTCCCCTCAGCCAACTTTAGACGCCTCGCTCTCAGCCCTATTTTGAGATATTTTTATGTTTAATATACCAAAAGATAGGAGACATTAAGGACTTTATTTTGGTATATTAAACATAAAAATATCTCAAAAGGGCTGAGACAGGTTCCCTTTTGTTCAGCCCCATTTTGAGATATTTTTATGTTTAATATACCAAAATAAAGTCCTTAATGTCTCCTATCTTTTGGTATATTAACCATAAAAATATCTCAAAATAGGGCTGAGAACGAGGCGTCTAAAGTTGGCTGAGGGGAGCGGCGTTTATTAGAATAAATACGGTACATATTGAAAAAGGATTTCTCAACTTATTCTTCGAACTAACAGTTTTTTCGTTTCAAAAAGTCGCTCTTTTTTTTTCGAAACCGAAAAGCAATAGATATCCTCTGTTTTTCAGCTTTTACCGCCTCAACTACGTCACAATAAACGGTCGACTCATTGCTGAGAAATTGCGATAAAACAGAGACATCGGAGAAGAGGTTTTCGCCTAAACTTTCCCCTTTTCAGTGTACATTAAATGACGTCATGTCATTTGTGACTGTCAATCACAAAAACCAAAAACAAAATAAAGAATTTGCCACTCCCAAAGTAAACAGTCTCTCGTCATTGGGATAAAAATGAGAAATTAGGGAAATCTGGAATTTTTCACTTGAAAAATAGATTGGTAAAGGGAGTTTTCGTTTTGACATAGTTGTTGTTTTGTCATAGCTGTTGTTTTGGCATAGCTGTTCTTTTGACTTTTAGAAAGTATTCAGTTAAGTTTACGTTGAAGATCATATGAATAGAGTCATTTTTAAGTAAGCAAGGCTTCTGCAGATACCCAAGCCGTTTCAAACCCGGTCTAGACATTAAACGAGAGTTAGCCGAGAGAACCAGAGCTTTCCAACGGACAGAACTGAACCAAACCCTCCCAGATTTCGAATTGCCTCTATAGAGCTGATAGCCTAGTTTTTAAGCCTTTGATTGTTTGTAATTTATGCAATAAATAAAGAGAGTTCTCTTTTGGCACTTGGAATTTACAACTCTCTGTGGTCACCAAACCTGACTACTGACTTACAATTACAGAAGATGTTCATATGTCACAGTTTGAGCACTTGCTTCAAAAGAAACCCATTTTGGTGTCAATGGAAAAGTTGTAGAGAATCAAAAATCAAGCTTATATCCAAATTTTCAAAACGATTCAAAAACTGGTTTTCAAGAAATGCCAAATTTACGAATTTTCACAAAACTTGCAACAAAACTTGCATTTTAAGCGAAACTACTAAGTGTATCTTTTTGAAAATTTGGTTATAAACCTAATTTTTGATTCTCTACAACTTTTCTAGTGACACCAAAATGGGTTTCTTTTGAAGAAAGTGCTCAAACTGGGATATCCAGTCTTTATCTCCAGTCCTCCATTTTTGAGTCTCACACTTGTCTCACACACAAACCAAAATCCTACTACGAAAGAGGAATCCGCAAATTGCCTGTAAAATGGGCAGAAGTCGTCAATAATAATGGAAATTATTTGGAATGAATTTATCGTTTTATGTTGAATAAATTTTAGTTCAAAGTCTGGCAGTTTTTAATTCACCAACCCAATACAATCGTTTTGATCACGTATAGAATTCCCTACCGATTAGCATTAGAAATTTATTATCTCTCCCCGTTTTTAAACAAGCAATCTCATGTCTAGCACAATATTTGCTATTTTTTGTATTAAAATTCCGCTCACAGGACCAGACTTCGGTTCCTGATGTTGCTTTTTCTTTTGGAGCAACTTCTAATTGCATTATGGTTTTCCTTTTAATTTTTTCAATTGTTTACATAAATTTGCGCATATTTCTTGCAATTTTACATTAAAACCATCAGAAAAAAAGTGTCCAAACAAAAGCTCACGTTGAGTTCGTGCTTTTCCCCAGTTAGAAACAAAGTTTTAAGCCTTTAAGCCTTTAGCTTTATTGATCTCAAGTGGTAGCATTCAACGATAAGGTGACATATGACAATAGCCGGCATTTTTCAATTCACCAACCCAATAGTTCCTTTTAAGACATTCGACTTTGAGATACGTGTAAAAGAGGCAAAAGATTAGCCAACTCTTTTCAAATTTGCGAACTTACTTTTTTACAAAACGATCAAATTATGATCTAGAATCTAGAGTGAAGTGAGATCAAACGTCTGATCAAACGAATCAAGTCGATCACTCTAAATCTAAGTCTGGATCGGACGTCTGATTTAGAGTGATCGGCTTGATTCTAGATCGGACGTTCGAGCTCACTTCACTCTAGATCGGACGTCCAATCGGACGGATTTCTAGATCGGAACTTATTTGGAATGAATTTATGGTTTTATGTTGAATAAATTCTAGTTCAAAGTCCGGCAGTTTTCAATTCACCAACCCAATAGTTTCTTTTAAGAAATTCGGCTTTGAGATACGTGTAAAAGAGTCAAAAGATTAGCCAACTCTTTTCAAATTTGCGAACTTACTGAGCTAGAAACTGAATCATTGAAATAATTGCAATAATTGACAGAAAATAGTATAATTGAAGGAAAAAATTGATAAAACGAAACACATCACATTGTGCTTTGGCTAAGTTTTCTCAATTTCCCTCCCTTCTTTTTTTCTTTCGATTTTATATTGTTCCCTAGAGAAAATGACGTTCATTTGAATGATTAAACCAAAAACAAATCGTTTTTCGTCTTTGTTTATTCATTGTTTTTAAATTGAAATTGACGAATTCGCAAAATTTTTTAGCAAATTTGAGGGGAAATTTGTTTTGTCGGAAGAAAGTTCAAAATTTCTCGACTTTCCCGAATTTATTTCGATACTGATCGCCGACTTTCATCTCGTCACTCATTTTTAGGGGAACCATTCTAAAAGTTGTTTGGTATAGAAAGATCACAAGATATAAAAGATCACAAATCTTCTTTACCGTCTATACATGAGAACCCAAGCCAATGCACAAAGCAAAGAGATCACGATCACGATGATCCACGGGTTTCCAATTCCGGATGATTCGAAAAGACTTCTAAACATTGTGGTAATGCTTGATAGCGTTTTACAGAAATGAGTAGAGTTGTATCTGAGGTTATAAAAAATAGTTATTATATCTTTCTAAAAACATTTTTCTCGGCATTCAGGTCATAAATCTCGTTCTTGTCCTTGTCTTTGTCCTTGTCTTTGTCTTTGTCTTTGTCTTTGTCTTTGTCTTTGTCTTTGTCCTTGTCCTTGTCTTTGTCCTTGTCTTTGTCCTTGTCTTTGTCCTTGTCCTTGTCTTTGTCCTTGTCTTTGTCCTTGTCCTTGTCTTTGTCCTTGTCTTTGTCCTTGTCTTTGTCTTTGTCTTTGTCCTTGTCCTTGTCTTTGTCTTTGTCCTTGTCTTTGTCCTTGTCTTTGTCTTTGTCTAAGTCCTTGTCTTAAGTGACTTGGGCTTACTAGGAAACGTCGCCAGGTGCCCGTGATCTTTTATAACGAAACCAACTCCATCTTATAGAATCGACTACGCTGATTCCGAATCCCTTTTCAATTTTTGCCCTTGAGGCCTGTAATCCGGGATATCTGGGTTACAAGTTTTAGCCCTTCTTACCTGAGCTCATTTTTCGCAACGGAGCCAACTAGTGGCGTGGTGCATCGCCAAAGGTGCCGACTACAGATCCAAAGCACTCTGGTTCGATCCCCTCCTTTTCGATCCCCTCCCCTCTAAAAACCAAAAGAAATTGGCCGAGGAGTCGTCGTCAGCTTTGGCGATGCGCCACGCCACTAGTTGGCTCCGTTGCGAAACATCAGTTAAGAGAGGCTAAAACTTGTAACCCAGATATCTCGCGTTACAGGCCTCGAGAGCAAAAACTGAAAAGGGATTCGGAATCAGCGTAGTCGATTCTATGAGATGAAGTTGGTCTCGGTCACAGGGACCGGACGACGCTCCCTAGTTAGGGACCGTAAACTACAGCTACGCCCCGCTGGATCAGAGTTGAGCGCTGTCAGTCAGCCGTACTATTATACTTTTGAGTAAATTGTCCTTTTCCCAGCGATTGTGGGACATTTGATACGTGCCCCGCCCCTTTTTCCATTGGCAATCCAACTTTGAGCTTAAATATCTTGGTGTTGGACTGTCCAATTTAAATAGCTTTTGTACCAATCGACAGAGAAAGACTTGGCGCATTGAATGCTCTTAAGAATATTTAAATTGGACAACCCTACACCAAAATATTTGAGTTTAAAGTTAAATTGCCAATGGCAAAGAGGGCGGGGCGCGTCCGATAACCTTTCCCAGCGATCTGACAAAGAGCGTCTCAAGTGTTCAAGTTACTTCTATCAAAAACCGTCACCTTTTAAATTTTGAAAGTCTAATCTTTGAACATATTCATAAACTTACGCCACAAACAATGGCCCAATAAGGCGAGCCGAGCTACCTGCCAAAAAGGAGAATTCCTTGCATCGTGCCCTGAATCCTTTAGCTTTTTACTAAAGTTTAAATCTTACTTGATCTCTTGGACCGATCAGCGTTGAATAAACAACTGTCATTGTTACATTGATAATCGGAAAAGCGAGACCGACAAGGATCATATAGGAAAATACATAGACATAGACATTGATGGGCGGAGTGGTGGCACACCAATCGAATGATTGACGACAACCAACTGGTTCATCGATTTTCACCAAAGTTCCATTGATCGTTTCAACTATTTTCAAGATTTTTTGATTAGATTTTCTTAAAGTTACATTCTTGTTGATATTGAATTTTGCCCGGGAGAAACCACCAGGGATAGGTGAGAATATGGAAAAGAGTCAACAACAAGATGCCAATGATAGTCCAGAGACGATGGTTCAAACTAAAAATAAACGATTTTAAATAGAGAAATTAGACTGTTTTGAAGTTCTTTAAACTGGAAACTGTATTTTTAACCATTTATTCGCAATCAGCTTTCATTTCCAACTCTAAAAACTCAACTATTGGGTTGGTGAATTGAAAACTGCGGGCTATTGTCATATGTGACAGTTTGAGCACTTTCTTCGAAAGAAACCCATTTTGGTGTCAATGGAAAAGTTGTAGAGAATCAAAAATCAAGCTTATATCCAAATTTCCAAAATGATACGCTTAGTAGTTCCGCTTAAAAACCAAGTTCTGTGAAAATTCGTAAATTTGTTCTGTGTGTTCTTGGTGCGGCCGCGTAATCGCTCGACGTCTGGCACAGGGATTTTACATAACCCCCTTCCTCTCTCTTCGGCAAACTAATCTGACCGTCTCCGCAGCCTCAAATTCGACATTGACTTCTCAAATACGACATTGATTAAATCAAGGCTAATCTCAATTGATTGGGTTGGTGAATTGAAAACTGCTGGCTATTGTCATATGTGACAGTTTGAGCACTTTCTTCAAAAGAAACCCATTTTGGTGTCAATAGAAAAGTTGTAGAGAATCAAAAATCAAGCTTATATCCAGATTTTCCGAACGATTCAAAAACTGGTTTTCAAGAAATGTCAAATTTACGAATTTTCACAAAACTTGCAACAAAACTAGCATTTTAAGCGAAACTACTAAGTGTATCTTTTTGGAAATTTGGCTATAAGCCTAATTTTTGATTCTCTACAACTTTTCTATTAACACCAAAATGGGTTTCTTTTGAAGAAAGTGCTCAAACTGGGACATTTCCAGTCCTCCATTTTCGAGTCTCACACTTGTCTCACACACAAACCAAAATCCTACTACGAAAGAGGAATCCGCAAATTGCCTGTAAAATGGGCAGAAGTCGTCAATAATAATGGAAATTATTTGGAATGAATTGATGGTTTTATTTTGAATAAATTTTAGTTCAAAGTCCCGCAGTTTTCAATGCACCAACCCAATCGTTGTACTTTGTGGTTGCAAAATAGAGAACACTTTACTTTCTGGTACACTTAGGCACTTATTTACTTACTTTATTATAGAAAAATGGGCTCCAGTATTAAGTGAAAGAAATGATTGTCACAGAAATTAGATGCTTGAGAAATGAAATCATAAAAATGCTTGGGTAGCATGGAAAGATTGATGTTTGCAAGTTACTGATCGTTAAAAGTATTGGAATTTTTAAGCGCTACTTTTTAAGCATACCTTCAATTTCATCTTTCCCCCAAGGCACCTACTTCTTTCCGAAATCCCAAACTGTATTCGAGGCATAGTATGCAAGTCCGATGGCTCCAAAACCAATATGGATCAACGAGTTGTAGTAGACCGCTTTGGCTCGATCCCAGGCAAAAATTGTCATCGATAATGGAGAACCAATTCTGTAAATAAAGCCATTTCAAAGTTTATTTGTGAAATCTTTGTGTTCTTGCCGAAGCCTTCTAAACATCTAAACTAAAGCTAAGCTGCTAAACAAAACAATTTGCTTCTAAACAATTTGCTTTTTATTACGGATTACTAATGTGCTTTCCCTTGAATTCACTAAACGTGGCTAGACCTGTGCATCATTTAAATAAATAAAAAAAAGCTATTTTCTTCAATACACGTGGGGAAAAGGGTGTGAAAATTGTTTCAACGAAGCTCCAAGAAACAATGTATTGACCCAGAAATAAAAAGGAATCATGATCATCACGTGAGAATCCAAAGAGCTTAAAGTATCCGGTTGCAAGACCGACATTGAAACAGTGATATGATGAAAGAGGTGAGCTAGGAGATGCACAACAACTGAGTGGACCTTAGGACAATCAAGGCATTCGGTCAATCGAGGCATTCGGTCAATCGAGGTCAATCGAGGCTAGTGCGTTCCGCGTGTCTTTGCGTGGCGCGAAGGACGCGAAGAACGCGAAACGTTGAAACAAACCAACCAATCATAGGCAGAGTCTCAACAGATCGCAGCTATACTGCTCTACTGAGTACAACACCTTGACCAGCGATCAAGTCGTATGCAAGTGATCTTGCGCCCTCGAGAAACAGAAGTGATCCGGCTTTGGTAACTTTGAATTGAATTGATGATGAATGATGATGAATGATGGTGATGATGATGAATGAATTGATGAATTGATGAATTGATGAAAGGAATTGATAAAAAATTGTGGAAGTATCTCGAATTCAAGAAAACTTTCACAAGACCAAATAAGAGAAAATTCTAACTAAATGCGGAAGAAGGCGTCCTTTTATACGCGCGAAATTGTTTAGAGTACGGTATTTCTGGTGTCTTATTAGATTGTGGCAGCTTTTTGGTGACTCGTCGTCAAAAGAGCTCAAAAGGGTCAAAAGGCTGGAGAAAAATCTCCAACCTTATTGTTAGCTATTCAAATTGTTAGCTATTCAAATCACTTTTTAATACCTTAATTTTGGCCAGGAGAACACTTATCCAGACCAAACTTATAACTCAATCAATCAATTGTTCAAACTCACGTTTCAATATTTGTGATCACAAACATTTGAACGAAACGCGTCATGATGCAAACGAATGCGGCAAAGAGATCGAATTTTGGAAGGGCAAAGAAACGCTCGTGTTCGGCTGAAAGGTGGATTGGAGTTGAAATATCAACAGAAATAGGTTCGATTTCTGTTAAACTCATAGAAACTTGTAGAAACTTGTAGACTAAAACTTTCAAAGTTTCTAAAAATTTATGAATAACCAATATGAATACCAATCTTCTGCAAATCTACATCTTTTGTTTGCCAATCTCAACGAAACTCACGATTTTCCTGCTTTTCCACTTGATAAATACCAATTCTCGAGTCTTTGAAAGCAAAAATCATCATCAACGCCGACAACAGGTTCACGAGAATTCCCATCATGGCTGGCCCGGTATACATGTTGACCAGAAATTTCCCAAACACTTGATAACCAGGGTAATCGAGTGGAGTGAATAGAATTTGAAAACCTGAAAATTTGAAAATCCTAGAGCGACATTTCTCTTAAAACGACCTGGTCCAGCCAAAATTCCTAGTGAGAAGCCACCAGTGTTTAAAGAAATCGCTCGAGATCGATCATCTTTTGTGCTACCCTGGATTGCGTAGGCGCGAAGCGGAGAAATGATACCTACCGTAAATACTGTAATAGTACCGCACCCCCCTCGTACAGTCGCGTAGTTTTTTTAGTATTTCATTTTTTTCAAAGCGCCCGTACTTTCAAAAAAAAAATAGCCCTGAATTTCAGCTATTTTTTGATACCTAAGCGCGCATTGTAGCATGAACCAGTGTCGAGAAAAACTCGTTCAAACCTAGACTACGCAACACTCCGCACCGTCATTATGGGGATGGGGTACTATTACAGTATTTACGGTAATTACTCGAGTAAAATTTGCATGAGTAATTTTTACTCGATTAATCGACGGTTTTTGCCCGAGTAAACTACGAGCAATTCTCTTTACACGTCGAGTAAATTGAATACCTTTAAATTTGAATTTGCCACCAAATCAATTAAACAGCTGAATATCTTGAAAAGGAGTCGTATATAAGGCGGCGCTCGTGACTTTTGCGGCAGCTTTTTTGCAATAATTTTCGCTAAAAGTGAATTCGAAAGAACGAAAGAATTTCTTGAAAAGAAAACGTATATAAGTCAGCACTCGTGATTGTCGAGAAAAACTCGTTCAAAGCTAGAGCTACGCAACACTCCGCACTGTCATTATGGGGCTGGGGTACTATTACAGTATTTACGGTAGGTTATTAAATCCAATTGAAAACTAAAGCTAACTCTTTGAAGGCTTCATAAGTTGAGCTCGACGCAAATTAGAAAACTCAATAGCCTTGTTATTAGATTGTTTTTCTTGCGAGCCAGTAATTATTCCAGCAAAATTTGCATGAGTAACTTTTACTTGATTATTCGACACGAGTAATGCTCTTTACACGTCGAGTAAATTGATTATACCTTTATATTTGAAGGGATTTGCCACCAAATCAGTTAAACAGCTAAATATCTTTAAAAGGAGTCGTATATAAGGCGGCGTCCGTGATGTTCGCGCCAATTTTTTTGCAATATTTTCCTTGAAAGTAACTCTTTCTAAGTGTGCGGTTTAAAACGCATTATTCATGAGGAACACACCCTACTTGTTACTTTTAGAGTAGTATGAAGTAAGTTTGACAAAAGTGACAAAATTTAGCTACTAGACAAGGCTGGTTTCGGATGCAACCTAACAGATCTTTCCTCTTTTATAAGGGAGAGAGGGTGTGACTCTGTGCGTCTGTCTGTTTGTCTGTCTGTCTGTCTGTCTGTTTGTCTGTCTGTCTGTCTGTCTGTCTGTCTGTCTGTCTGTCTGTCTGTCTGTCTGTCTGTCTGTCTGTCTGTCTGTGTGTCTGTGTGTCCGGGCCGTTTCTCGCCAACGGTGGCTCCGATCGAGCTGAAAATCTGACATCAAACGGTCAACTTTTTATTATATTTAATATGGCCCATTCGTTTTCTAATCTGTTGAGCTGTTTTTCTTGAAAATGCAAATTGTGACGGTTTTGGGGCACTTTTTCTTTGAGAATCAGTATCTCAGTCCAGATGCGAGAAAGAGAAATCTTTTTTGCTTAAAAGATAGTCAGAGTCTCTAGATTAAAAATCTAATATTAATCTTTGGATTTTAAAAATCAAAAAACTGAGCGTGACTATGAGAAGATTCAAGCCTGTCGCCGTGACCGCGTGGTCGGCTGTTAATTTTATCACTGATTTCAAATTTAGTTGTTAAAGAAAGTTCCCCAATCTACCTGCACCAAGTCCAACGACAAGACGAGACACCATCATGCCAATGTAGGGTTGAATCTCGAAAATCGGTATCGATAGATACAAAGTATTGCCAACGGTCATCATAAAAAGTCCAGCCTAGAGAAATATTGGCTTCAAAGAAGGCTTTAAAGAAGGCTTTAAAGAAGTGATTTCAACGTCTCACCAAGACTGGAATCTTCGTGTTCTTGATTCGATTACTCCAGAAGCCATAAAAAGGCAATGAGAGAGCTTGACCGAGACTGTAAATGGCTGTGATATGTCCAAATTGTCTTTCCTTCGATGAAGCGTCTAACTGAAATCGACTTGGCTCAAAAAATGGCTTCAAACTTGGCTCAAAAGTTGTTTTCTAATCTCACAATCTCACAAAAGCTTTCAAAACCTGTAGCAGATATGGCCACAATGATGAGAAATAGATGGTGAATTGAATAGCGCAAAAAAATTGCACCAAACTCGCAATCCACATCGAGCTCCATGGTGTTGTTGGCTGAGTTTTACTAGAAAACTTTGCAATAACAAGCAAACAACTTCCTCTTCTTCCACAAAAGTCTTCAAACCAACTTTTCCGTGTTCAATGGAAAACGACTCTTTGTTTTCATCGTTGAATGATTAAAAGCACCCATTAATTTCAGAAAATAAACATCTAAATTCAGAGATTTAAATTTTAACGTCGATCTTGTTCAGCTATGACATTGTCTCCTTTTTTTGTCGACCTTTTTTGTCGACCCAAATTTGCATAAGCGCTTTTCGGCTGGGGTGTGTAGTTGGAACTTTGAAATCATTTCGATCAAAGATTAGTCGATTCAAGGATTCAGATTTGATCACACTTTTGCTTAAGCTCTTCTTGGCCTCTTAATTTTGTTTTGTGGAGATATTAATAGAATTTATTTTGATACTCATAGTTTCACTTTACTGTTTCAACCCACTTTCGGTTGTACAAGCCTTGGATTGCATCATTCTGCAAATTGTTGGCATCATTCTGGCTTCAGATTGTTGTTTCGACATTATGACTCGATTATACGTGAACCATACAGGGTGACTGCTAAGTACAGGGTGTCCCACAATTATGGTGACGCGCATCTTACTACGTTTAACTGCTTTCTGTCTTTTTTTTCTTATTAATTCGATGTTTTGATTGTTTTTTTAGGTATGAAGAAAGAGCTGCGTTCAGCCATTATTACTCTTCATCAACAAGGGAAAACACTCAATGAATCCTGTATAGCGACTCACTTCTGAGGGTATAGCTCAGCAAGAACTCAATGAATCCGTAAGGAATTTTGGAGGTGATTTTTGTGTATGTCTCCTGTAGCCAAACCCATTTTCTAACTGATTGATGCTTCTAGAATCTTTATTTGACTTTACAAAGTTGAGAGTCGCGGCGAATCTGACGAAAAACCCAATTTAAGGTTTTTTCGATAAATAACATTAAATCAAGAAGTAAAAAAACGATAATTCCTTTTCAAAAAAGATTTCCTCGGATTTTTTCTCTAATTTTTGAGCTCCTTAATGACATTTTGCTAGGAAACCGTAGTTTTAATCAAATTCGATAACAGAAAATCGAATTTCTATGAAGTCTTTGATCTTCTGATTAATCTCTTTGATCTTTTTCCTGTTAAATATGATCATATTCGTTAAATAACTGCAAAAACGGCTCTCAAAAACTTTGAATTGGGTTTTTCGCCAGGTGTACGGCGACTCTCAACTTTGTAAGATCATATAAAGATTCTAGAAGCACCATTCAGTTAGAAAATTGGTTTGGCTACAGGAAACATACACAAAAATCGCCTCCAAAAATTTCATACGGATTCATTGAGTTCTCGCTGAGCTAGACTATCAGAAGTGAACGGCTATGATTCGTGGTCACCCTGTAGCTCGGAAACACTGTTCTGGTTAGCTTTGACCCAGAAATGACCTTGCATCGTATAATATGATAATGTACCGTAATCCGGAATATAATATGATAGTTCCAGCGATCAAGTCGTATGCAAGTGATCTTGCGCCCTCGAGAAACCGAAGTGATCCGGCTTTGGCAACTTTGAATTGAATTGATGATGAATGATGATGAATCAGGAACTATCATATTATATTCCGTTTTAAAATATCAATTTTAAAACTAGAATTGTAAAGGACGAGGTCCACCAAAGACTGCCAACAATTCAATAAATCGTCGAAAGATTTTTGATCGACGCAAAAGAAACCCTCGTATTGAACAGGCCCACAACGATCAGAACGATCGAAACCATCAGAACGATTGGTCCAAAGAACCTCGCTCGTTATACGACAGAATTGTTTCTTTGTTTACTTTGTGTTCTCACTTAAACTTTCACACTTTCTGGCATACTCTTCGTTACCCGCCGACCGGTTCAATTACTCAAGTCTAAAATCGCGAACACTCTGTGCTTCGCGTGTGAATATAATATGATATTCTTAAAATGTTATTAGCCATTTCATTTTTGTGTTTGTTAGATCCAAATTGTTGTTGAGCTTGTCTGTTTTTTTTTTGCTGTTCTGCCTTCATTTTACAATTGCAATTTTACAATCTTTGCTTTTTCGTCCTTTCAATCTTTTTGTTTATCTTAAATATTTATTCAAATAAGATAGACAAGAGAGTTTTTTAAATTGTAAAACCGGAAACTTTTTTGAAATACAGGTTTATAAGCTACGAGATGCCAACGAATCATTATGAAAAGCGGGGGAAATTTTTGAAAAACCTTTTGCGTCAAATAAATTAGAAAAAATTAGAAAAATTAGAAAAAATTAGAAAAAGTAAGAGGTAAAGCAAAGAAAATCGATTGTTTAAAGAAACTTAACTGAATATCTTTTACAATATATCCAATATGCTTATAAAATTGCTTATAAAATTAGCGGGAGAAATCACAGCCGTCGTGCGTTTTCTTGTTGACTAAATGAGTGACATGGGTTGAAAATTTTCGAATTTTACTATTCAAAAAAGACTAAAATTTCTATTGAGAACACATAAAGTTAAAATAGAAATAAAATTCTATGAAAGTATTGAGAAATGGAAGAACATTCGACAAGTGAACTTCATTGAATTTTTGTTTAGTAGACAACTAGACAAGTAGACAACTTTTTGGGTTCAAAATTTCTCAATACCTTCTCTCTAACAGATTAAATGAAAAAGCGCTTGAAAAATCCATTAATTCAAATCAACTGAATCATTCAAATCAATTGATTCAAAGCCTCAACTCGAATCGGGGATTTTGATGCCAACGAGCGCGACACCATTGATCGTTGGCCGATTCGGCGGCACCACGAACAACTCGACGACCCCGAGCCTCTTCGACCAACGAGCGAACGGCCTCGGATTTCATCTAAATAAGATAACTTTATTTGTTTATTCAACAACAGTTTAACAACAACTCAATCTTGTCTCAATCTTGTCTCAATCTTGTCTCAAACTTGTCTCAAACTTGTCTCAATCTTGTCTCAATCTTGTCTCAATCTTGTCTCAAACTTGTCTCAATCTCAATCTCAATCTCAATCTCAATCTAGAAACTATCTCAGCATTAAAGGCTTAATTAAGAGCCTCGATTACACCAGTATCAGAAAGTCGGTGGCAAGCTAGAAGGAAAGTATACAATATTAGGTTGGTCCATAAGTCTTGGTAACAGTTTTGTTTTTTGATTCACAACCAAAGAAGCAGTTTACTCGAAATAGTTTTCGTTGTTTTGGATAACTTTTGCCCATTTTGTTGGAAGTTAGCGAATTCCTCTTTCGCAGAAAATTTTTGAAAACTTTTTCAAACCTTTCCCCACCTGTAACTCGGCAATCTGGGCATCTAATTCGGCTAAGAAGTCCATCTCGGCTTTCTCAAGTTCATCATCTAAATTGAGTGGTGGCGGTGGTGGGGCGCAGAACTTTGGAGCCGGTCGATGAACGGGCGATGGACGGATCGGCTCGGGTCTGAGCAATGGAGGCAATGGACGAGCTGGGAGCATTCCCAATGAGTAAGTCTAAAGAAAAACTTGAAATTGATCGTACAAGCTTGTTACAATATAAGCTTATACAATACAAGCGTATACTTGTTTTCAAGTTATTATTTCGTTGATTTTCTTTCACCTGTGGAATCACTGGCAACATCCTGGGCCGAGTTGGCTTGACCGCGGCATAGATTGGCTCAAAATTGGGCACTCTTCTCGGCAACGAGTCCAAATTTGGGGCTTTCGGAGTGGAGTTTTGTCGGTAGCTGAAATCATGGCTTAATCATGGCTTAGTCATTAGATTATTCGTGCTTTAGTCAACTACTTTAGTCAATAGAAGAGTCAACTTTGGCTAGAATCTGATCACTTTCTTACTTAGGTTGTTCTTTTCCACGGTTGATTTGTCTTTCCTCCACATATGGCCGAGCCATTGGCCCATCATAGGGACGGGCATAGATTGGAGAGTTTGGCCGAGAGAATGAGGTGGGTGATGAACAAGATGGACACTCTGAGTCCGAGACATAGGCTCGATCGTCGAGCACACGAGAGATTCGAGTGAGTGACTAAAAGGTTGAATAGAAAGATAGAATCCAGATCCAGATAGAAATTCAGATAGAAATCCAGATAGAAATCCAGATAGAGATATCAGAATCCAGATAGAAAGAAAATCCAGCTAGCTAGCTAGCTAGCTAGATTTACTCAAAGCTGTTCTAGTACTACTTATTTGTGCATCACTTGATATTACGTGTGATTTTCAAATAAGTAGTACTAGCACAGCGTTGAGTACATCTAGCTAGCTGGATTTTCTTTCTATCTGGATTCTGATCGAGCGTGTGCATTACTTGATATTACTTGATGTTTTTGACAACACTACTCAAATATGTACGATTAAAGTTTGCCTCCAACTCCAACAAAGACTCACCTCCAATTCGTGGTAGATATGCTCGGTGGACTCAAATCGTCTCAAGTTGTCATACGGGGAAAATGAAGAGGATTCCTCTAAAAACCCAAGCGCTTCATCAACATCAATCGATCTGCACTCGACCGCTTTGTCGGCCGATTCGCGAGCCGATTGCCAATTCGGCGAGTGCACTGATGATTCGGGACTAAAGAAAGAGATTATTGCTTATTTTATTGCTATTAGAAGTTTTGATTTTCGAGAAAGAATCGAGAATCGCAAGAATGCCATTAAGTCGAGATCGAGTTTTCACACGAGCTCTGGCCCATTTGATAGAGTTTTCATCGAGGATTCGGAATTTGCTTTTAGTTTTTAGGAACTTTTCTGTAACCCAAGATATTCGGCATATGAAATTTGGCTTTTACAAACCTTTTACAAGATTTACAAGCTTTCTCATCATTTTCTAACATTGCTCTGATGGCCTAGTGATGATCTGAACTAGGCCATCAGAGCAATGTTAGAAATGGTCATCAGAGCCATCAGAGCAATGTTAGAAATGATCATCAGAGCCATCAGAGTATGTCCGCGTTTGAAACTTTTTGTCCCTTGTTCGAATCCCTTCACTGATCACTCTTTTTCCTTTTTTTGTTTAATTACGAAAAACTATTTTTTTAGGGTTTTGTAACTTATCAGCTCATAAAGCAACCGAAAAGAAGCCAAATATCTCTCCAAATTATATACCAAATATCTCGGGTTACAGAACCATTCCAGAAAAACTAAAAGCAGATGATGAAAACGATGAAAACTCTATCAAATGGACCAGGACTCATGCGGAAACTCGGTCTTGATCTTGACTCGATCTTGACTCGATCTTGACTTGACAAAATTCCCCCGTTACTTCCGAATTCTTAAGATTTAAACCTATTAACATTTCCCGGTTCATTCCTAATTCCTTCAGAATCAACCATTTTTTTGCTCTTGCTATTCTTGCTTTCATCCCCAATTTCCAGCGAATCTCTCCTTTTTGCCATTTCCAAATCTCCCAGTATTCCTCCTAGTACAACTCCCGAATTCCTTCAGAAAGCCACTATATGGCAAACTCAAATTAGAATCAACGTCTCGCCGAGCAAAGAAAAAGAGAAGAGAAGAAGATTGGTGAAAATTTGGCGATTGTAATTGAATTGTCGGCTGTGTGAGGAGAAATTGGGAAGAGAGGAACGGAAGAGAGAACGGAAGAAGCACCACCGAGGGCTGAGGAGTCCCAATCATCATCATCCCCAAGGAAAGCTTTTCTTGCGTAATGCCTTCACTCCCTTCCCTCAGTTTCCCTTTCTTCGATTTGATTATTCACAAATTTCCCAAGTGGAATTCACTTTGGACTTTCAAAGACTGAGTCCTCTTTCGCTGTCCAACAAATCCGAAAAAGCATTAACGTTTGTTTGGGATTGTGAAATTTGTGACTCGATTTCAATCGAAAAACAGTAGCTTTAAAATAAACTTGGACATGAATTTAGATTTAGACCCAAATGCAATTTCATCTTGAAATTTCACAACAACTCCTGGTACAGCTCAAACCTTGGTAGAACAGTTTATCGGTGACTAACTTGACCCAAAAGATATCACAAATGAGTCTACCACTTGTGGGTTACCAGTCTACCAGTCTACCACTCTACCGGTTAAGTACTCTTCGCATTAAGTCCAAGCCTAAGCCTGAGCCTCAACCTGAGCCTGAGTCTGAGCCTGAGCCTAAGCCTAAACCGGAGCCTGAGCCTGAGCCTGAGCCTAAGCCTAAGCCTAAGCCTAAGCCTAAGCCTGAGCCTGAGCCTGAGCCTAAGCCTAAGCCTAAGCCTAAGCCTAAGCCCAAGCCTGAGCCTGAGCCTAAGCCTAAGCCTAAAAGCGGCTGAGATCCAGAAAATGGGGGTTCAGCCCAAACCCAAATAGACTTAGTGCTAGGCGCTAGCGCTAGCCTACGCACTAAGTCCAAGCCTGAGCCTGAGCCTAAGCCTGGGCCTAAGCCTAAGTCTAAGCCTTTAGTACTATTACCACTAGATTTCACTAGTTTTTCTAAAAAGCTCTAAGCTAATACTTTTAAATCTTATCAAACAACCATTTTCCATTATATTTTCCGTTCGATGACCACTTTTCCTCAACAAAAAGCTGACCGATCCCCTTTTCCTTTGAAGCAAAATGAAAAATGCGCTTTGCGTTCGCCAATTCATCCTCTTTTCACCCCCGAATAAGATCTCCCCAAGGAACAGCCACGAGTTTTATGAATTTAAGAAAAATTGATCGAGAAAAAACTTGCTAGAACTTCTACCTGCTATCCTGACTTCCATATCCGGATGAGCAAACGGACTCCTCGAAGCTTTTCACCCGCAAATGTGAGCGGTCCATTGATGAGAAACTGAGATCAGAGCGCTCCATCTGAAAGAAAAATAAGATAAGTATACTATTTTTTAAAAGTAGAACTAGAAATAGTTTATAGTCTATCAGTAGAGTTGTTACAGATTCGTCTTACTGCAGAAATATCCGCAACTTAAACGCTCGTTCATGTAAAAACTCTTGGGAAACTCAAAATTGACTAGTTAATCTTATTTCTAACTTTTTTTTGTCTTTTTGTTTAAACTTTCAAAGCTTTCAGGTTTAACTTCTTTAAAAGAAATTAAATTAAAAAAAACACTAGTCACTTATCAGAAAAAGACTTGTTAAAGTTTCAAGTCTTCAAATATTTATTGTACAACTCAATTAATTGAACTAGACAATAGCTGGGCAAGCTTTTCCAGCTTTTCCAGCTTTCCAGCTTTTCCGCTTTCTAGCTTTCCAGCTTTCTAGCTTTCCAGCTTTTCAGCTTTCCAGCTTTTCAGCTTTCTAGCTTTCCAGCTTTTCCGCTTTCTAGCTTTCCAGCTTTCTAGCTTTCCAGCTTTCTAGCTTTCCAGCTTTTCAGCTTTCCAGCTTTCTAGTTTTCCAGCTTTCTAGCTTTCTAGCTTTCTAGCTTTCCAATTTTCCAGCCTTCTAGCTTTCAACTGTATCTATTTTTGATTGTTTCAATTACACAACTACCATTTGCCATTGAAAGTTTCTTCTTTGCATCAAAACTTTTTCTCTATTCCCCTTTTTCCTCGAACAATTCTCGTCATCGACATTTTCCAATTCCTCTACAACTCTAACCAATGAACTCACATTATGCTCAGGTTTCCTTAAATGACGCATCGAGGCGCGGTCTCGCTGAATCCAGGGATTTGTGCGAATGTTGGACGATCGCTGACTGGAAAACGATTGACTCAACGAGCCGCCCATCGGGAAATCCCCAGGCAATCGCTGATCCCACGGATCTGCATAAATCACGGGCGCGATTGGCTCTAAAATGGATTTTCGAAGATTAGAAGATAGAATTAAAACTATTTCCAAACTCACGTTTCACTGCCACCGGTTTCCCTCGATTTTTCTTTGGTTCAAGGAATGAGGGCTGTCTTCGCGGAGCTGTGCTGTTTTTCGCTTCAGGGATCCGATAAGTTGGCGCCGCCGAGTGGGATGTCTGAGATTGTAATGGGTTTATGAGGTGATAAAGTAGCAATTAAGTGAATCACTTAACACTTTCTTAGCAAAAAATGGAAAATTGCAATTTGTAGCCTCTTGTTTTAGCTGTATGCATAGGGTTTAGCAACTGTTTAGCAACCGTTTAGCAACTGTTTAGCAACTGTTTAGCAACAAAGTTACAGAGAAAAGAAGTCTAATAGCCAGAGCATTGTTTATTATTGCGAAGAAGCCCATCTTTTTCCGAGTGTTTTTGCTTTAAATGCTTTTTTGTCTTCATCAATGTTATTTTCAGGGTTTAATTCTATCAAATAAGCCAAAAGGGAAATCTCTAGACACATTTATAGATGTCTAAATGAATTTTAACGATCTATTATTTCGGATTCGATTTACAAATTTCGATCTAACGATCTAGCGATTTTTCTGTTTGAATCCCACACAAACCTTTCTCGATCGGCGCTCCTTGTTCCCTCGCCCAAGCGGGAAACCCTCGAGCCACGACTGAAGTCGTTGCATCAGTGACTCTGCAAATTTCGATATAACTTTCGATAGACAAATTTCTATACAACGATATTTCGATATAACGATATTTCGATATAAATTCTATGAAATCAAAATCAAAAATGACACAAAGGAATGAGTCAGCGCTTAAAAATAAGAAATCGAATTTCCTTGAAGGATCCTCAAGACTTTTGTAGCGAAAGGGGAAAATTGGCTTCAACGAAGGGATTTTCTTCAATTTTCGGACATCCTTTAAGGATTTTTCGTGTAAAGAAGCACTTCAACACAACAAAAAGAAGGCAATAGGTGAGGAAAAGGGGAAAAAAGTCGGTGTACTTGACTTTACGAAAGTAGATGAGTAATTTGGGGATTGTGGATGGATTTGAATCTGTGGCAGGGTCAAATTTAGCTATTGTTTTACATTTCGAGCTATTGTTTGACTGTTTTCAAATAATTTGGGTGAGTTTCAGCACCAAAAACAGCGAAAAAGCAAGAGCTATCTAAAGTTATCTAAAGTAGAGCAAGAGTTATTTAAAGGTACTAAAACTTGTACTTTTACATAAGTTTCAAGTTTAGTTTCTCTAAGAAAGAGTAAAAATTTCGTTCTAGAGCTACTGGAGGCATAAATTTGCCAAAAGTTCACGAGTTTTACCCAAAACTAACTAAATTCACTTGGCTAAACCCAAAAAAACTATGCCGAATATGAGCTCGGCATTAAAATAGTGATGTTGAATAAGTTTTACTCGAAAGCTAGCAGTAAATACTTGTTACAAGTTTGAAATACTTTTATATAAATACTTTTAAAATAGCTATGCGCTCCAGTTTTCAATACAATTTAGTCATTTTAAGGGGAAAACGAGAGGAGACATCCCATTCTCGTGGGACCAATCGAAGACACGAAAATGAAGTGCTCCTCGACAAATTCACAAAATCCATTTGCTAGGCAAAGGGAAATGAAGAACAAGAAAAGGCGTACAAGTAAAAATATTCATGTTTTCCTATCCTATCCTTCAATTGTAACCCTGAGAAAGTAGCCAATCGTTTGATGGGAATTCGCGTGAAGAACTCGATAGTTTTTTTTGATGGGATTACCTGGGAACCGCTAGTTGATCAAGAAAATCATTGAAGGATTTAAATTTTACTTTAAAAGTGTACTCAAATGAAGAACTAGACTCAAGTTTGCTTTGGCTTGAACAGTTTAAACTTTTCAATGATCTAGAAACTGCCATTGAAGATTTAAAGTGTTCAAAGTTAAGAATTCAAATGAAGAACTAGACGCAAATTTTCTTTGACTTGAACAGTTTAAACTTTTCGATGATCTAGAACCTCCCATTGAAGTTTTAAAAGTTTAAAAGTGTTCAAAGTTAAGAGAAAACTCGTAAAACACAAAAAAAAACAGACAGTTTCCGACAATAGATAGGAATTACAATTTGAAATTAGCATATGAAAGTCTAGCGGACAATGAACAAAGAGAAAATTGAGCAAAAAGAACGTTGAGAGAAACGCGGAAAAGAGTTTTCCACCAAAAAGTCGTCTAATTGAATTTAGAAGGGTTTTTAAAGGAAAGGAGGACAGAAAAGTGAAATGGATGAATTTTGGAGAGTGCTTTTCACGGGAGGAGAAAGATTAGAAGAAAAAATGAATACTGGAAAGATTGGAGTCATCTTTTACATTATCTAAACATAAAATAATGACATTTATACCCAATCAAGTCAAATAATATGCTTTTATTTCAAAATTTCTTGCACTTATGACAATTTGTGAAATTCTCAAGTTAGCCAAGTGATTTCAGAACAAATTTGCATTTACCGTTAACAGTTTAGCTTTAACAGTTACTGGTACAAGTTTAACTTTAACAGTTACCGTTAACAGTTACCGGTAACAGTTTAACTCATCTAGAAAGCTCAGCACAAATGAGTTTTCTTGGAAATTTGAGCATGAACAACATAATAGAAAACGTTCAAAACAGTGTCGTCAAATTTCTCACAATTCAAATTTCTCACACCAAGTTAATTCAAGTTTTATCCCAAAAAATTCCTTGCTTTCTTGGCTACATTATGGGTAAAACAGTTTTTGAAAAAAGTTAATATTTCATAGATAAAAAGAGCGTTCAAAATGGATCTAACGAAATTCTAAAGAAAACGAAATCCCGATACAAATTTTGAACGCTAATTTATCCATGAAATATTAACTTTTTCAAAAAACTGTTTTACCCATAATGTAGCCAAGAAAGCAAGGAATTTTTTGGTATAAAACTTGAATTAACTTGGTGTGAGGAATTTGAATTGTGAGGAATTTGAATTGTGAGAAATTTATTGATTTGGGAATAAAAATCTAAGCGTTTATATATTTCAAACAAAGTCAGAACCTGGTTCTTGGCCTGTTTTGAACGTTTTCTATTATGGCGCTGTTTTAACTACATCTCGAACTTGATTTGAAATGAAATGAACAAAGTTGATAAAATGGTTGAGAGTAGAAAAACATTAGAAAGGTTGACAAGGTTGAAATGGTTTTCTTGTAGGAGTGAGGAAGAGGTGCTGTGAGGGAAAAGATGACTGAAGGGAAGCTGAGGAAAGCCTTGGGGAAGGGATGGATGGGAAAAGACAGTGATGGATCTTGCAAATTAACGCCCCACCCCTTCTTTCCTCTTTTTTCTTCTTTCTTTTCTTTTTCTACCAAGAAAAGCTTTTCTTTTCTCTGCTTACTTCCATCAAATTTCCCTTCTGCTTGTGAAATGACAGGATAAGAAGCATGATGAGTAGATGGAGAAAAAGTAGGCAATGAATAACTGATTAAGGAGCTTACTGGTTTTAGACCTTTTAAGCCGTAAATTAGTTGAAACTTTATCGAAAAAGACATTTTCTATTAGAAAAGCTTAAAAATTTGAGAATATGCAGTTTATTTTGAATAAAAAAAGTGGTGAAAAAGTTGAATGAAAGTCAAAAGTTTGATTTGAATGAAACTTTTCTTATTCAAATCAAGCTTTTGATAGTCTAATCAAAGCTCTAATCGCTCTAATCACTCTAATCAAAACTCTAATCACTATTCTTTATTGAAGAGTTAACTATTACCCAACCCAACGCCAACCAACCAAACACCAACCCAACCCAACGCCAACCAACCCAACCCAACCAACCCAACCCAACCAACCCAACCCAACCAACCAAACGCCAACCAACCAAACGCCAGCCCAAGCTCTAAACTTACAGTTCTAATTTTTAGATCCACAGGTAAATTTTCCCGATTTTCAAAATCAATTTCAGCGGTAAAGTGACAAAAAGCGATGATAAATATTGTCTCATATTTTTTTTATTGATTCTCTGCGTGTCTCTTTTTTCGCGTCCATTGAATATTCACATTCTGTTAGCATTCGGCCGGATTAGTCAACGAAACTTTTCGCTCAAAGAGACATTTGTTTATTTAGGGAAAAACCGCTGCAATACATGAGAAAAGTTAACACAAAAGTTGTTTGGAGTTTATTTATTGATTTGGGAATAAAAATCTAAGCGTTTAGATATTTCAAACAAAGTTTGAACCTGATTTTTGGCCTGATTTGGCATGGAAAATCACTTTTTTGCCTGTAGCCATAAGATTTAGAATGAGTAACCAAAGAGAAAAGAAAGAGAAAAGAAAGAGAAAAGAAATTTGAATAGAAAACTGTGTCCTAAATAATACTATAAGATATATCTAGCGGATTAACAACGGATTTCGATTCATAAGAATCAAGAGAAAAGGGATTAGAGTAAAATTTAGTCTCCCCGTGACAGCGCTGAAAGTGTTGCGCAATTTGTGAAGATGGGAAAAGCGAAAGAAAAGAGTAAATGACCAATTCACTTGTTCTCTTTCACACCCCGGGCAAAGAGGAAAAGAGAAAATAGGGAAGAGTCGGGCAATTTGCATACGGAAACCCTCTCCTGGGGAATGGACTGAATAAGATAGTAATTAGATGACATGAAAAGGACAACGGAAAAGTTCGGTGTTCAAATTTTGATAGTAGTCAGTTATGGGTTTGAGAAAAGCGTAAGAATGAACACGAAAAGAATCTCAGCTGGCTCAACTTGCTCAACTGCACCAAATTAGACAACAGGTTTACTTATCTTATAGTAAGCTAGTTGTCCTGATTGTGAGATATCTGATACACGCGCCTTTGGCATTGGCAATCCAACTTTGAGCTCAAATATCTTGGCGCTGGGCTGTTTAATTTAAATAGTTTTTGTATCAATCGACAGAGAAAGACTTGGCGCATTCAATGATATCAAGAGTATTCAAATTGGACAGCCCTACACCAAGATATTTGAGGTTAAAGTTAGATTGCCTATGGGAAAAGGGGCGCGGCACGTAACAAAACCCTTCCAGAACCCTTCCAAAACATCTGAAGCTCACGATTTCGTTTCAAATGTCCGATGGGTTATTGATCCGATAAAAGGTCCGATAACCTGTTCTCCTACAGTCACTCTTACATTTTTACAGACTAATTGTAAGCTCAAAGTATTACAGTAGCTGTGAAAGTGAAAAAAAAACTTGAAAAAAAGAAAAGCTCAGGTGATTCAAAGCTTGAAAATCTTGAAACCTTGAAAATTCAGAATCGCATTGTTGCAGGCTTTCTGGTGCCTGTAAATAAAAGAAATTCTCATCTTAAACTCATTAAAACTCAAAAACCTTCACCCAAAGAACGTAGTTAATTATGCAAAAAAAAAAAGATATTCAATGGACGTCTCGAGTGTCCCACTACAAAATATCAAAGGAAAGGCTATCTTTTTTTAGGAAAAAGGACACATCCTTGACCGAATCCCTATCCCTTTTTCTACTCCTTCATATACCCGATCCATTGTTTTGAGGCCAATTGTTGGGGAAGTGTCAAAAAAGGTTCAAGGCTCTACTCAATTATTCTTTAGCCGCTTTGTGCTCGGCTGCTCGAGTTTCCATAATGAACATCATTATTTTCAGTTCAGAATTCAAATAATGAAAGAGATGAGGGTGGAAATGTGTTTGAAGCAAGCTACACTAAACATTTTGACATTTA